GCTGGAGTATATGCTGGAATAGGCAGGCCAGAGAGAAACTTCTGCCTACACACATGCACACACATACACACACACATACATGCACGTGTGCTCACACACACACACACACACACCCTAAAAGAATAAATAATATTTTTAATGCCATTCTTTTTTAAATGTTTTTTAGAATCATGGTCTTACTATGTAGCCCTGGCTGGCCTGGAGTGTGCTACCATACTGACCTTTCACTGCTGTTCTGATAACCAGTTAGACATGGAGTTGTTCAGTGAGTTTCTGTGTTTGCCTCTTTTGACCATAGTTAAAAGAAGTCTGATGATTGAGTATTTGATGCTCTAGATAGACATGGCAGGATTTTGTAGGGACTGCTGAGTCTTTATTTCCCACCACTATTTTCAAGTTAATGTGTTTCACAGTGCTGGTGCCGTGACTCATCAGGCGAAGGTGCTAGCTGCCAAACCTGATGACTTGAATTTGATCCCCAGGACCCAAAGGGACATGTTGGAAGGAGAGAACTGACTCCAAAAAGGTGTCCTCTGACTTCCACATGCACATGTCCCCCAATAAATAAATAAAGATAAAAACAAAAAAACAGAAGAAGAAACCATTTCATGGCTAGTAGGTAGCCTGAACCCTTTTTGATGTAACTTGCTCACTTGGGGTTCACAGCAGAACTTCTCTTGAGTGGTCTCCAGAATTGTCTTTTGCAATAATTAACAGTTCGGGATTTGTCAGTTGCTTCTGAGTGCAGTCATTCACATTAATAAAATGGTAGGTTTGGAGTATGCTCAGGACCTTATACAAGAAGAGTTTCAGCTCTGAAATTGGTGAACCTGTACCGCCTTTGGTTGGATTCCCCCACCCTCTTATCTGGACTACATCATTGTCCATTGCTGGTGTTGGTTCTAAAGTGAGCCAGTTAATTGCTTGGAGGTGGCTTCTGTTAAGGAAATATGCCTGAAATAAAAATGAGGAGGTATCATAGAACAGTCCCTTTACTCTGTCCACCGCAGTGGAATCCACCCCTCGAGTGAGTGCATGCCTGTGGGCTAGTCCTGACGCTGTTTCCTTTGTGGCTTGCCTGCTGTCCACTGGGGAGCCCATGCTCCTTTCATTTTCATTCTTCTCTGACTGCAGTGCTTTTGAACACAGAGCCCCCCATCCTCCCACCACCCAAACTCTGCATTCCAGCTCCGTGATCTCATGGTACCAGGCATATCTCCCCTGCCATGCCGTCAGACCGCCTGCTGGCTCTTGCTGAGGAACAGACTGCAACATAAACTCAGCGCTAAAGAGCAGGACGCTCTCTGTATATTTTTAAGACCAGGGATCCAGATCCATTTAGAAGCTGTATTTGTTTAATAGCTCCTTGAAAACTGAACAAAACATTTCTTGTTGCTCTTACTTTTTGGTAACATCATTCCCTCAGCACTGATGTACAGAATCTTAGAAACCAGAGAATGGAAAAGATGCATTAGCTCATGGCTAATCCGTTCCCACTGCTCATGATGCCGTTTTCCCACAGTCGATCCTCTTGTGCTTTTCTCCTCTAGTCTTCTCAAGAATTTATTTTCTCCAGTTCTCCTGGGGCACAGTTTCTGAGTTTGACCATAAAGGAATTTATATGGAATTATTCATATTCTTTTTTTTTTTTTTTTTAGCTTAATACTGCTGGTCTCCATAAACTTTTCTGTTACCATAAACAGCCGCTCTTCTTCCTGGTCAAGTATTTCTGGATGGTATTTTCACTTCCATTTACTAAGTTCAGAGTTTGTTTTTCTGCTTTACTTTCCCTCTTCATCAATCAGCCCTGATGCCCATTAATCATTTCTCAGTGCACTGAAAACCCTTTGCTCATTCCCATATCGGAGCTACTTACGGTCCCTGGATGCTGGAGGAAGCCTCTCTGATATGTGTTCATTTTCTCTCCCTCCCTCCCTCCCTATTTTCATTCTTCCCTTCTTTCCTTTCTCTCCCCTCTCTGTCTCTCTGACCTCATTCTTCCCTTCTTCCCTCTCTTCTTTTTAAAACCCTCTTCACTTCCCTCAATTCTCAACTGGAAAATATTTTTAAAGTACTGTTTATTAATTATGATTTGAAGATTTCATTGAAGGGGTAAATGTGTGGGAAGGGGGGGATGAGATTTTGAGTGGTTTGATTATATTTGTTCATAGTTCCTTGAATGGCATTTTTTATATCCTCAGAGCTACGAATCTTTTGGATCCCCTCCTGACTGCTTGGATCAGATTCAATGCTGGACCATAGAGATATGATGTAACATTCTATTTTGGCACTGTCATATTATTAGCTGAAAAAAAGACACAAATTATATTTGTAAAATTTGGAGTTCTTAGAGAAAGAGAAAAGAAAAACTTAAGTAGCCTTGACACTTATTTAAAGTGGATTAGCTCTCAGGAGCTATTGTTAGGTGAAAAAATCCAGCTATAGTATGCTGTATGGTTTCCCATTTTGGAGAGTGTAGTGTCATAAACATGTCCAATCTGTCTCAAATTGTCTCATTTCAGGTTCTAACCAGATTCTTCACACTCTTGTGTAACAGAAATGATATTCCAGAGCCAGGACAAGAAACAGCCTTTTTCCACACATAGTGCTGGAATAATTAGCTATTCATAAAAAGAAAATTGAATGCCTACTTCACACTTTATGCAAAACAAACAAACAAAAACACTCCAAATGGATGCAGACCTAAATGTGAAAGATAAATAAAGTATTAAAGTGCACACATGCTATTGATATGAATATGCATGTATATGTGTATGTGCATATGTCTTCAGGACCTTATAGTATTAAAAGGTTCCTTCTATGACACAAAAGTCTGTAGTCAAGTGCATTATATTTATTGAACTTGTAAAGAACTTCCCTTCATCAAAAGATAATGGGAAGAAGTAAGCACAGTCTTAGAATATATTTCCTCAACCTGTAATTAACTACAGTAACAACATATATAAATTCTTAAATAATGAAAGACAACTTACCTAAATAAAGCACAGAATAACTTGAACAGGGTATTCACAATAGAAATAAAACTAGACAATAATCATAACAGACTTTCAACTTTTTTAATAAACAAGGAGATGAAGTTAAACTGTTGTGAGATTCTACCTGGTCTGTTCTATTAGCTAAGAAGACTAGGACAGGCAGGACTAAGTGCTGATGGGAATCTGGAGCCACAGGAACTGGTGGGAGAGAGTGCAATTTGTTACATACTTGGGAAGAGTTCACCAGGTTGTAGTGTGGTTGAAGATGCATGTATGTACCTTATGATTTTACAATCTCCCCCTACATATAGAGAAACTTGGCAAGTGGCACACATAGATATATGCATCACAGTGGTCTTTATTCCTCTGTAACCATCTTGCAGATTTTTAGACCTACAGAAAAATGACCAAGTTATTTTACCAAAAGCAATACATTCTTAATCAACGATGCTGAGCAGAACATTGGTAGCTAGTTGTATTGGTTACTTTTCTGTTGCTATGATAAAGCAGCATGATCAAGGCAACTTAAAGAAGAGAGAGTCTTTTTATGGTTTACTGTTTCAGAGGGTTAAGAGTCCATCATGGCAGGAGGGCATAGCAGCAAGCAGCAGCAGCAGGAGCAGGAAGCTGAGAGATCGCATCTCCACCACATGCACAAAGCAGAGAGAACAAACTATAAGTGGAAGGAGGCTATGTGATCTCAAAGCCCACCCCCAGTGACATACTTCCTCCAGCATGGCTGCACCTCAGATGCCTCCCCCAAACAGTGCCTCCAACTGGGTACCCAGTGTTCAAATACTATACCATCATATGTGGGTTTTTTTTTCACTCAACCACCACAAGAGTAGAGCAACCACATGTTGGCTTTGAAGTCCCACACCTGCCATTTCCTTGCTGTGTGGGCATAGGCAATCTATTGATATCTGTGAGCTTTTGTTTCTCATCTGCAAATTGGGAAGAGAAAGAACCCTACTATGTTAGGTACTCAATTAAACGTGTTCCTGTATGTAAAGAACTGAGCATAAATGTTAGCAGCATAACTGTTCAGTAAGTTATGGGGACTGTTAAGATTTTACGATGCTGACTAAAACAACAACAACAAGTTTGATCTTTAGAACCTTTAGTCAGTACATTTACTGATACATACTCAAAACTGTTACGTCATCACTATATAATACTAAGTCAATCAGGAAAAATCGTTTTACTCTAATTTATTTTCCTTCTCATTTTTTTATAACAATACTAGAAAATGTAACTCAAAGGGAAGGCATGACTAAGACAAAAAATATTTGTATAATTTATAAAATTATGAAGAATTTTAAAATACTCTTAATAAATTAAAACCTAAATATGATTATCAGTAATAATAAATAAACATGAAATAGCTTTATCTTTAAAAATATTGCAATGAAGTACATATTCTCTAGTTCTAGCCCAGGATCTTACCCATTAAATTATAATATCAACAATAAGAAATGACTAACAGTGAATTTTTGCCTAATGTTGTTGCCTTTTTTTTTTTAACTACAAAAAAACAAAATCACATGCAAAATCCTAAGGCTCCTTTAATCTCTAATGAGATGACATCTACATGCACAAGCATTCATGGTGCCCACTGGGACCAAAGCCAAGTTTTTCCTCTTGGGAACACTGTCCATTTACCCTGTTTCTGGTTCATTCTGTTCATGATTATATTGCCGACTTGTACCTCATCTTTGCATAAATACAGCCTCTATCATCAACTAGGCTTGCTGTCTTTTGGCCAAGGAGACTTCTTCCTAAGCATCTTTGTGCGATTTAGGAGTAAGAAAAAGCATTTTTAACATCCGTTTGTCTCTAATAGCAACCACCATAGTGAGTTACATAGAGTGCACGCAAAACAATACATGGCAATGGCCATCAGGCTACGGCTCATAGGAATAGGACTGTGTGGTAATAGGTGCATGGAATTAATGGATGCTGCCTCCAAAGCAACTATATTTTTTTATCTTTTTCTTGCTACAGAAGGACAGTGTGGAGCGAGTGTTTTCTGGCATCCAGCCTACAGGAATCCCCCACCTTGGAAATTACCTTGGAGCCATTGAGAGCTGGGTGAAGTTACAGGAGGAATATGACACAGTGTTATACAGCATCGTTGACCTCCACTCCATCACCGTCCCACAAGACCCCATCATCCTCCAGCAGAGCATCCTGGACATGACTGCTGTTCTTCTTGCCTGCGGCATAAACCCAGAGAAGAGTATCCTTTTCCAGCAGTCTCAGGTCAGCTTCTCAGACCAGAACTCAGAAGACTTGGGTTTTTACATCGTTTGGAACTCCTGTTCACAATCTTGTTTTAATTATTCAAGGATGACATCATCTAATGTGATGTTTCCAGTTTAATATTTACATTCACTCATATCATTAAGTATCCTATCTTTGAATTTTCTCCTACTTTATTTTATAGTCTTTCATCTACCCCAAAGTTATGTCCCATTAGTTCTTTGGACCCTGGGATTGTTTTTCTGTGCTGGATTCATTCAGTCCAATGACCTCCCACTGTTGACTAATCTCCCTGTGATCAGGATTGAATTTTGTGACCAATGATTTTTTGTAATTCCAATGGTGGTTTATGGGATATTGAATTTGGAAGGCCTATTGGATAATTTTCATTGTTCATTCTTTGTATAATATCTTTTGAAAGGATTTGATGGAACAAGCCAGGAAATTTGAAGACAAAGTCCCAATGTCTTGTGTGTAAGCCAAGAAAGTCTTCAGAAAGCCAAAATAAATAAAGCCAAAATATTTGACTCATACCTTTACTATGGATGAGTCAGTTTATCTTTAGACAGGAAGAGATTCTGCCCAGAGACAGCAATTTAGACACATGCTAGCAAAGAAGAAAAGAACTCCTTCTGGGTCACACCTTTACTACATATCTGCTTTAACCTGCAACATAGCCTCAGTCAAGGGGTCCCCTTTCTTGATCATGCACTTCTACTGAGTATAAGTTTTAATTAACCCAGAATTTACTGCAGTGAATCATACAGAGTAACCAGCTGAAAACATACAATAAGGGCCTAGGGGCTTATCACTCGATGGTAGGATGTTTGTGTAGTATGCTCAAAGTCCTGAGTTGTATCCCCAGTATGGCAAAACACACAAGTACACACAGACATACATGAACACACACGCGCGAGTGCACACGTACACACACACACACACACACACACACACACACACACACACACACACATTAAATGAAGAATATCTTTAAAAAATAAAGTCAACCAAAAAAAAAAAAAGCCGGGCGGTGGTGGCGCACGCCTTTAATCCCAGCACTCGGGAGGCAGAGCCAGGCGGATCTCTGTGAGTTCGAGGCCAGCCTGGGCTACCAAGTGAGTCCTAGGAAAGGCGCAAAGCTACACAGAGAAACCCTGTCTCGAAAAACCAAAAAAAAAAAAATAAAGTCATCAATGTTAGCTTGCCACTCATATGCATATGTAAAATGATGTCATCTTTAAATGGATCATACAAACAACTTACCTAGATTTACAGTTGATCAGGAAACTTTTTCTTGTGACTTTTCAAGTTTAATGTTGGACAAATCTGAAGTATTTATCTATATTGGGCAAATATGGACTTCTTGATAATTTCCATGCATCCATTAACTTCTGCTTTTTCAAAACCAGCAATAAATCAGCTGTATCTCCCACATACCTGCTTATCAAATACTTACACATATTTATTATGCCATCTTTATCCTATAGTTTTACTTTTTAAAAAGATTTATTTATTTTTATTTTCTGTATATGGGGGTTTTGTCTGCACGTATATGTGTACCATGTGCATGCAGTGGCCATGGAGGCTAGAAGAGGGGACTAGATCCCCTAGAACTGGAGTTACAGATGTTGTGAGCTGCTGTGTGGTTGCTGGAAAACTGAAGCTTTGTCCTCTGTAAGAGCAGACAGTGCTCTTAGCCACTGAGTCAGCTCTCCTGCCCTGGTCTTAGTTTCTTGAGGCTGCTGGTCCCTAGTCCCTCGCCTTGTCAGCCATCCTACCTTGGAAGCACTTCACCTCCTTTCTGAAGGACTGTGATGCATGTAGTTCAAGATTCCCGCTTATTCCAGCCCTTCCACCTGTCTCTGACACTGCAGAGCTGCTCATCCTCAAACCACCTTTTGAGTCACCTAATGCAAAGCACGTCAGCTTCACTCCCTCTAAACTGGTTTTGATACAGCTCTCCTTCGATCCTTATTTGATGTTATTTCTAAAAATTGCATTCTCAGACATGAGTTCTTATTTCCATATTTCTTAGAGGTGAATATCTCTAATCTCCCCAAAATAACCTCTTGCCAAGATTTGAAGTAATCTTTAAATTAAATTAAAATATCACATTAGCATGTTATAAATATTTCTTTCTTTGTAACAGACTTTTGGCAGTGACCTCTATAGGCATATAAAATGTGCAAACGTCAAGATATTTTCTTTAGCCTATAACACTTAAGAAAGAGTAACTCATAGTGTAAGAGACTTTGTGTAACTGTCTCATAGATGAGGGATAAGAACATCCACCTTCTCTTGGATGGTGCCCCCGGAACTCATTGGTCCCCAGGTGTCTGGTATTCTAGGTCAGGGAGAGGTGAGTGATGCAGAGTGGGGTCTGCCTGCCCCGCAACTTCCATCCTCTAATGCTGTCATGTTTCTCTGCTGCCATCCTTGACTTCAGCTCTGTTTTGATAGTTTGACTGTCAACTTTGAGGAACACACTCATCTTCTCTACATTCCACAGTTCTTCCCTCAAAACCAATGGGAAAGTCTTCTCAGGTGTCTCTGGAGCCACAGACATACCTGGTCTTGGCCATTCCCTTCTGTTTTAACTTAGACAATCAGATTGTTCCAACTCTGCAGGTGGACTAGATAGCCCAGGCTCCTTCTCCTTTTTTAATATTCACAAAGAAAACATTGAGACGTTTGTAAGAACAGGGCAATGCGCTGTACTCTCACACTGTTAACAGTTTTTCATTTGCTTCACCAGCACTGTTTTTAGTGAAATAATGTAGATCTATGTACAATAGCATTTCTGTCCTTAAATATTTCAGTGTGCCTTTTTATAAATTAAGAAAATATTGTATATAAATATCATGTTATCATTATACCTAAAGAAGTTGATGATAAATATACATTGCCATCTAGTCTCAAAATTATTTTTGAGTGATCTACCCAGGTCCACACATTGGGTGTTTTCTTAGTTTGGGTTTGTTTTAGAGTGTGCAAAGTCAAATCTCTCCTTCCATTGTGGGTTCTGGGGATGGAACTCAGGCTATAAGGCTTGTGTGCTGAATGCCTTTACTGAGCCATCTCATCCACCCTACAGTAGGTCTCCTGAAGTTGTTCTTTATGTCTAACTATGATTTTGCAGCCTGTACTCTTCGACTGACATCTCCCCATTTCTCCCTCCACCGTCCTCTGATAACTACCATTTTACCTCCTTCTTCTGAGTTCAATGTCTTTCCATTCTATATTTGATCCACAGGCATTTATCTTTCTATACCTGGATTATTCTGCTTAGCATATACCCTCCCACTTTATCCATATTGTTGCAAATGACAGGATTCCTTATTTTTAAAGACAGAATAGTATTCAATAGTAGCTGTTTATTAGTCTGTTGATGGACATCTAAACAGGTTTGTTCCAGATCTTGACTTGTGGGACTGCAGCTTGTGAAAGATGCTGTAATAAGCATAGGAGGGCAGATACCTCTGACATACTGATTTCGCAGTCTTGGGGTATGGACCTGGTGTAGGATCATGTGGGTGTTTTATTTGATCTCCTTTAGGTACCCCCACACCCTTTTCCAAGATGCCTGTGCTTTCCATGCCCACCAACCCTTGGCAGGAGGTTCCTTTTCTCACATTTTACCAACATGTGTAATCTTTTGACTTTTTAAAAGTAGCAGCTAAAGAGATATGAGGCAATGAGCCTGTGAAGTAAGTGAGGACAGAAAAGAGTCACCTTGTTAGATCTGCGAGAAGAGTATGTGGTCATGTTTATAAAGCGATGGGGCAGGACCCTCCCCTGTCCGTGCCTGCTGACCCTCCCTGTGCTATTTCCCCAGAAGCTTCAGGCCGAGAGCCAGTGGGAGATTCACCTCACAGAGTGTCAGTCCACCCCCTTTGTGGTAGCTGCAGGCATCTTTCTACTAGATGTGAATGGAGCCTTTTGCCTGCCCTGAAGAGGCCCCAGAGGACAGCAAGCTAGCCTTGCTGCCTCACTACCAGGGTGACGTAAACTTAGCACCAGTTTATTTTGTGTTCATGATCTGCTTAACTTTCATCAATGACTTTCAGAAGCACATATTGAAAAAAATTTTTTTTTCATTTTTAATTTTGATAAATCAGGTCCTAATATAGGAGACAGGTAATGTACAGATCATTTATCTACATTATTGAATGTTTTTTTTCCTCTGCTATTGATTCCTTTATTTTGGCAGTTTTGTAGCATGTGAGCATTTGGTTGATAAATATATAACAGAGATGACATAAATTTATTAAATAATTATCAAGATTTGGGAACTGAGGCCAATTAAGATCATGTATACCTGATAACTCCATACAATTATTCACAAATAGAATTAATAGTTTCTGAAATTGTGAGTTATATAAGAATATTTTTTCCTACCATATAAGGTATTCTTGGGTATAGCCATTGGGTTAAACGATGATTTTCCCATGTACCCTGATTGTACATTAGAAAAAACCCTAGTAATCATTTAAAATGGCAAAAGAATTTGGCTGTGTTATAATGCTGATTTTAACAATAATTTTCATCTGCAATCCTTTGCATTCTTTCTCAGCAGCCTGACTGGAACAGTTTAGGCATATTGAAGATTTTCCCCATTATTTTCTTTTTCTTCCTCTCCCACTGGCCTATAGTCATAGTGCTTCTCCTAAATATGTTTGCCATATGTGGGGAGTTTTCAGACCTCCTCATCTGAAAGTGTGTACATGAGTGTGTGTGTGCACATTAATATGCTCACAAGTGCATTTTGTTTGAGAGAGGGGTGGGGTGAGGGAGAACACCTATGTGTGTATTTGGCAGAGGTCTCCCTCTCGAAGCCAAAGCCACTGTCCTTGGTTTTTGTCAGAGCTGAGCAAAGATCCAGTCTGAGTCGTGCAGATGTCTGTGAGGTACAGGTCTCCACATCTCTCCCTGACACTTCCCCTGCATTATAATCACCCTGCAGATGGAAGATAAAAACCAAAAGACTCAGCCTTCGGCAC